AAGCCATTTTTTTTTTCAGCTGGGGCGGGGATTATACTCCGTTTTACCGAGATCAAGCCATGATGGGTCCGCGACTTTGGAGGCCAAGAATAAAACCCGGATGTTTGGTTGCCTCCTTCTGCTCCCAAAGCAGGCAGCACAAGCAGCCACACAAACCCAAAAGCTCACTTGTATGGCTGCTTGTGCTGCCTGCTTGGCAGCACAAGCAGCCACACAACATCCCGCTTCATCTCGCCTCCTAGTCTCGCCTCATCTCGCCTCATCTCGCCTCACCTCGCTTCATCTCGCCTCACCTCGCTTCATATCGCCTCACCTCGCCTCATCTCGCCTCACCTCGCCTCACCCCTCGCCTCATCTCGCCTCACACCTCTCGCCTCACCTCGCCTCATCTCGCCTCACCTCGCCTCATCTCGCCGAGGTACACCTCGCCTCATCTCGCCTCATCTCGCCTCACCTCGCCTCATCTCGCCTCATCTCGCCCCATCTCGCCCCATCTCGCCTCATCTCGCCACTCGCCTCACCTCGCCTCATCTCGCCCCATCTCGCCTCATCTCGCCTCATCTCGCCTCACCTCGCCTCATCTCGCCTCATCTCGCCTCATCGCCCCTCACCTCGCCTCACCTCGCCTCATCTCGCCTCATCTCGCCCCACATTTTTTTTCTTTTCTAGACCACTCCGAGACCGACCCAAGACCGACCCGAGACCCGAGATCGACCCGAGATCGACCCGAGATCGACCCGAGATCGACCCGAGATCGACCCGAGATCGACCCGAGATCGACCCGAAATCGACCCGAGATCGACCCGAGATCGACCCGAGATCGACCCGAGATCGACCCGAAATCGACCAGAGATCGACCCGAGATCGACCCGAGATCGACCCGAGATCGACCCGAGATCGACCCGAGATCGGCACGAGCGATCAACCCAACAGTGCCCCAGAGCCCCCTCCGGGGGGACCCCCCCTCACCCCGAGTGTCCGTGTCCTTCGCGAGTCACCGATGGGGAGCGGGGGGGGGTGCGAGATGCACAGGGGAGGCTGGGGAGGGGGGGGTCCACTCTGAAGACAGCCGACCGCGGAGGGGTTTTGTCCCACAGGGTTTTACCCTCCGCGTGAGGATCGGCGCGGCGAGGGGGTAGGCTCGAATTCGCCGCGCAACATTTCACCCCCACAGGACCCCGCCCACCCCCCCTCATGGTCCCACCTAGCACCCCAAGTGCTTTCGCACCCTCTCCTTGCGTGGTGTCCCCCACTATGTGTCGCCGTTATCGGGGCATGCTATCCTGTGTAGTCAGGGCAAGTGGGGGCGGGGGGCAGTCCCATCTCTCCTGTGTACGGGTGGGTTCTGTCTCCAGTCTCGGAGGGGGGCTTGAAGCTAAGAATATTTTATTTTTTTTCTAGGCCCGCGGGTAGTCTCCCCCCATCCCCAGGGCCTCCAGGGCTCGCACCTCAACCTCTCACAGACCAGCGCACAGCGCCATGGGGCGTATTTTCTTCTCAATAACAAGGCTGTGAAGAGTGGGCGGATGTTGACCCTGTCTGGGTGTCCCAGCCACTCCGCTGTGAAGTCTCCCCCCATCCCCAGGGCCTCCAGGGCTCGCACCTCAACCTCTCACAGGCCAGCGCACAGCGCCATAGGAGGTATTTTCTTCTCAATAACAAGGCTGTGAACACCGAGTCTGCTCCCTGCTGCTCGGTTCCCTGCTCCTCGGCTCCCTGCTGCTCGGTGTACGGCCCGTAACAAGGCTGTTCACACCGAGTAGCTGGGAGTGGCTGCGGCTATAGCCTCTTGCGACCCAGGTTCCGACCCTCTGCGTGGCCGACTCACACAGCGAGCCTTCCTGTCTCCGTGCTGCCGATTCATCGGTCGTGCTCAGTCAAGATATTGTAGAGACCGACCATATGCACAATATCTTGACTGAGAGCTAAGCCCAGTTCGACGATCGGCAGCCTCACCGCGGGTCGCGCCGCTGTGCAGCGAGAGCCAGGCTCGCCCGGCGATGGTGACCAGAGAGTGCTCAACAAATACCAGAAAAAATCAGGGAGCCTCAGAGAGTGCCACTGCCATCACCCAGGCCGCGGGAGCTGATCGGCTGCGCCGAGGACAGCTCCCTTGGTGTGCTCCGCGGCTCACCAGTGTGCGCCGCGGCGCCGTCCAGCCACTTTGGCGGCCAGCCACCGGTCGAGTTCTTCGACTCTGGAGGACAGAAAGGTACCGTCTGAAAGGTATTTTCATGCTCTATTGACTGGCGAAAAAATCCCCCGCCAAATGTTTTCACAGCGGGCGTGATTCACACCGAAGCATGAGTGAAGCATCGGGTCGCAAGAGGTTAAGCAGACAGATGTTGACCCTTCCGGCGCCAGAGGACATCGACCGCCACATCACGCTCGATGTGGCGACGGGCCAACCCGTTGTGATAGACGCCCTCGGCCCTGTCGTCGTCAACAGCGACGGCACCCTCTCGCGGATAACGAACTGGGAGCGGATGGAGGAGAGCGAGAGGGATGTGGCGAAACGGCGCATCTCCAAGCGCAACGTCGAACGGCTGCGGGCCTTTCGCGACAAGGGCGAACTCAAACAGTCTCTCGTCTCTGCTCTTGCTGCCGCCAGCTCAGACGGTGCCGCCAGTGGCGATGCCGGCGGCGGTGGCGCCGAGGGTCGCAACGCCTCGGGCTTCCGCTTCTCGATCGACCGCGGCGGCACCTTCACCGACGTATACGCGCTCTGCCCGGGCGAGGCGGTGCCGCGCTGCGTCAAGCTGCTGTCGGTCGACCCGGCCAACTACCCGGACGCGCCGCGCGAGGGGATCCGGAGAGTGCTCGAGGCGGCGACCGGCGTGCCGCACCCGCGCGGCGAGCGGCTGAACTCCTCGCGGATCGAGTGGATCCGGATGGGGACGACGGTGGCGACCAACGCGCTGCTCGAGCGTGACGGCGCGCGCACGGCGCTCCTCGTCAGCAAGGGCTTCGCCGACGTGCTGCACATCGGGTCGCAGGCGAGGCCCGACATCTTTGACCTCCGGGTCCGCTGCCCGGGCGTGTTGTACGAGGCGGTGGTGGAGGTGGACGAGCGAGTGGTGCTCGCGAAGAGCGAGCCTCCCGGCGAAGAGTCGGCGGCGCGGCGGGGCTTGCGGCGCGTGCGGGGCGAGACGGGGGAGCAGGTGCCTCGGGAGGGAGCCGAGCTGCAGGAGGGCCATATCTCCCCATATCTCCCCAGATCTCCCCACATCTCCCCAGGTGCTCATCGAGAGGGAGCCGGACTTGGACGCGCTGCGGGGCAAGCTGGCTGCGCTGCGGGCGTCCGGAGTCGAGGCGGTGGCGGTGGTGCTGATGCACGCGTACACATACCGCCAGCACGAGGAGGCCGTGGCGGCACTGGCGCGCGAGGTCGGCTTTGCCCAAGTCACCACCTCCTCCTCGACGCTGCCGATGGTGAAGCTGGTGCCGCGCGGATACACCGCCACCGCCGACGCGTACCTGACGCCGCACATCAAGGCCTACCTCGCGTCCTTCGTCGCGGGCTTCGACGACGACATCAGCAAGGTAAAGATTTCGTTCATGCAGTCCGACGGAGGCCTCGCGCCCGCCGACTCGTTTTGCGGCTTCCGCGCCGTCCTCTCGGGCCCCGCGGGAGGGTACATTGGGTACGCGAAGACAGCGCACACGCCAGGCGGCCCGCCTGTGATCGGCTTCGACATGGGCGGCACCTCCACCGACGTGTCGAGGTACGCGGGCAGCGTCGAGCAGGTGTTCGAGGCGCGGCTGGCGGGCGTCACGATCCAGGCACCGCAGCTCGACATCAAGACCGTCGCGGCGGGCGGCGGCTCGCGCTTCTTCTTCCGCGAGGGGCGGCTCGCCGTCGGGCCGCAGTCTGTGCGCGCGCACCCCGGGCCGGTACTCCGCCGCGCGGGGCGGGCTCGGGCCTCGGCTTTCTTCCTCTCCACCCCCGACGCCTTCTCGCTGCTAGGTTTGCTACCGCAAGGGCGGCCAGCTGGCGACCACCGACGCCAACCTCCTCCTCGGCCGCATCCGGCCGGAGCACTTCCCGCGCATCTTCGGCCCGGACGAGGACCAGCCGCTCGACGTCGAGGGCACGCATGCAGCCGAGATCTGGCCGAGCTCTGGCCGAGCTCTGGCCGAGATCTGGCCGAGATCTGGCCGAGATCTGGCGAACGAGGGCGAGCCGCTCTAGCTCGAGGGCCTCGAGGCCGCGCGCCCGTCGCGGCTCTCTGTTGATCGCCAGGCTGGCGCCCCTTCTTTTTCAGGCACGCGCGCCGCCTTCGAGGCGATGCTGAGCGGCGAGGTGCACCCCTTCTACGAGGCGACATCGCCCGCCGGCGCGCCCCCTCGGAGGATGAGTGTCGAGCAGCTCGCGCACGGCTTCCTCGAGGTTGCCAACGAGGCGGTCGCGCCGCTCCGCGAGAGGACGAGTCCGGGACACGTCCGCGACATGTCCGAGACACGTCCCACAGGCGATGTGCCGCCCGATCCGCGAGATGACGCAGATGAGAGGCCACGACGCGGCGGCGCACGTGCTCGCCTCCTTCGGCGGCGCGGGAGGCCAGCACGCGTGCGCCGTCGCGCGCTCGCTCGGCATGACGCGCGTGTACGTGCACCGGCACGCCTCCATCCTGTCCGCGGTGGGGATCGCCCTCGCCGACGTGGTCGTCGAGAAGCAGGAGGCGGCCGCGCTGACGCTCGGTGAGCCGGGTGCCGCCGAGCGCGTCTCCGTGCGCCACGCTGCGCTGGCGGCTGCCGTCGAGGAGCAGCTGGCCGCGCAGGGCTTCGCGCCGCCGCTGCTGCGG